AGGCCATGCTGGAGAACGCCGCCGACATCAAGGTCTGCCGTGACCCATAGATCCCGCACTGCGCCCCATAGATCCCATATTCTGCCCCGTAGATCCACGCTGCGTCGCACAGAGCCCATATTGTGCCCTATTGATCCCACATTGCGCCCCATAGAGCCCCCACTGCGCCCCATAGATCCCATATTCTGTCCTACAGAGCCGCACTGCGCCCCATAGAGTCCGTATTGCGCCCCATAGATCCACGCTGCGCCCCATAGAGCCCATATTCTGCCCCATAGATCCGCACTGCGCCCCGTAGATACTTAAATCACTCCAGAGAACCCCATAGCGCCCAATAGAGACCCATAGGGACCCCTTAGCACCCCACAGAGACCCTATAGGAACCTAAATCACCCCATAGCACCCCATAGAGACCCCATAGGAACCTGAATTGCCCCATAGGGATCCCATAACACCTTATAAGGACCCATAGGGCCCCATAGGGACCCCAGAGAGTCCTAAATCACCCCATAACGCCCCATAGAGATCCTATAGGACCTCATATGGACCCCATGGAGACTCCTCAGCACCCCATAGACACCCATAGGGACCCCATAGGGACCTAAATTGCCCCGTAGAGACCCCATAACACCCCATAGGGACCCATAGGGACCTAAATTGCCCCGTAGAGACCCCATAACACCCCATAGGGACCCCATGGGACCTAAATTGCCCCATAGAGACCCCATAACACCCCATAGGGACCCATTGAGACCTAAATTGCCCCATAGAGACCCCATAACACCCCATAGGGATCCACAGAGAACTAAATCACTCCATAGCGCCCCATAGAGACCCCATAGTGCCCCATAGAGACCCCATGGGAACCTAAATCACCCCATAGAGATCCCATAGGACCCCATAGGCCCCCATAAGGATCGCTTAACACCCCATAGAGACCCATAGGGACCCCATAGGGACCTAGATCGCCCCATAGAGATCCCATAACACCCCATAGGGACCCACAGAGACCTAAATCACCCTATAGCAGCCCATAGAGACCTAAATCACCCCATAGGGACCCCATAGAGACCTAAATTGCCCCATAGAGACCCCATAGTGCCCCATAGAGACCCCATAGTGCCCCATAGGGACCC